CCAAAGAAAGAACCGAGCACAGTCGCGCCAGCGAGTACACACACGGCCGGAGCCCGAGTAAGTCCGCTCCCCACCAGCTGCGCTCCGAGCCCAGAGAGCACCCGATCCGCTACCAGCTAAGTGCGCGGACTGAACCGGCCGGTACTCGCCTGCAGAGGCGCGGCGACTCTGCCTCCCAGAGAGCCACGCGCGCTCCCGTCCAGATCTCCGGGCTTGCCCGACCGCCCGAGACTGTAGAACGCCGTCTCAGCGCGACGCCCGCCCGGGTCCGCACCTCTCACCCTTAGAGGCAGCACCAGCAGTGGCCACCGGTCGTAGCCAGCGAACTACAACCCCAGAAGGCTGCGCGCGCGCTTCCGGTTGCTCCGTATGCGCCCCGCCCAGAGCAGCCGCCTAAACTGTGAGGCTCGCAGACCCGTCCGCCTCGGCCTCACCTTCCCGCCCGACACCTCCCATCCCGAATTCTTGGGTCCTAACCCAGAGCTACGGCGACGTCCGTTAAGGAGGTCTGCGCTAGCGCCGGCGGGCATTGGACTACAACTCCCAGAGGGCCGTGCGGGAGGTCGGCGCGCTGCTTCCCGAGCGGATCAGATTATTCGTGAGGGAATTTCGACTCCTGGGGCCTGTACTTCTGTCCCCTCAGATATATTCGCCGCCCGCTCGCAGGTAGTCGCCCCACCCCGGACACGAAACAGTGACATGAAAAAGGAGGGGACAGTAAAGGGGGACGTACTGACAGGAACGAAGGGAAGGCTCGATTGCTCCCTGGGTTTCATTCCAGCCGGGACACACTTCCTTACCTTCCCAATATACGGAGACTCCCCGACAGTGACGTAACATTTAAGGTTTTCTTAAAATCTAATACAGAAAGCTCGTCGCGACATTTACTTTCATTTCGTCCCAGGCAGGTGTACGAGTGAAAGCGGCCGGTTTGAAATGGGCGCTGCAGACAAGGAACACCCGGGGAGGCCGCCCACCGCGCTGTCGCTTTTCCTTCTGGGAGTTGTAGTTCAGAACGCCGTGGTTCTGGGGCCAACGCCTGTCACTGTGGACTACAACTCCCAGGAGGCATCTTTCCTACCCGGCGCCCGTTTTCTGGGACCGCCCACCGTTCCCTGCGTCTGTGAGACGCACCTCCGGGCTCTAGTTGTCCTGCTGCGCCACCTGGTGGACAAGGTTAGTGTAACCGGGAGTCCCCGGAATTCTCAAAACCTGGGTTTCTAGGAGTCTGTGGAACCTACAGCGCTGTTCCCGAGGTCGGAACGCTGCTCCAACGGCAGGGTCTTGGAAATGCAGTGAGAAAAAGCCTTCTAATAGCGGCCTGGACAGTGTCGGGGGAGCCTGAACTACAATTCCCGAAAGGCTTTGCTCCCAGGTGAGGCGTCCTCCCTTGGGACACCCATCCTGAGCACCTTCGGGGAGCAGTAGGAGGCACCAGGTGGAGGAGTTTGCAACCTGGAGGATAAGGTCAGTGTAATCACGATTCCCAGCGGCTGCTGGAATTCTCAAACCGCATCGCGGCTCCCCGGACTCTGCTGCAATGTCCACCCCCGCCCCCCGCCTTGTGGATGTCAGGGCGCCCATGCAGAGGTGGACTCGTTTCCTAGTGAGAAAGCGACCTCGGTGCTATGTAGGCGCGGCTGGGAGGCTGGACTGCAGGCCCAGAAGGCCCTGGCGCCCTGCACAGGCCCATCAGTGCTTGTCCACCGAGTGCATCTCCTGGGACAGGCAGCTGGGCCATCGAGCGTGCTAGCACCTCCGAGAGCAACGCATTAACTGTCTGAATCCCCAAATACCTCTGAAATAGTTTCAGAACTGCTGTTCTCGAATCTCTACAAGAACCCAAACCTCCTGGAAAGATTTCAGGCGTTTCCTCTTCCCCTAACCACCACCTCCCTGCAAAGCTAAGTCAGTGATGGTGAACCTATGACAGGCCTGTCAGAGGTGACAGGCGAACTCATTTTTTTGGTTGATTTTTCTTTGTTAAATGGCATTTAAATATATAAAATAAATATCAAAAATATAAGTCTTTGTTTTACAGTGGTTGCAAATATCAAAGAATTTCTATATGTGACACG